GTACCATGATGTAAAAATATAATGCTGTTTGCATCTTCCATTCGTTGGCCATATTGGAAGTACGATGACCTATTGTTTAGTCCAAACACGCATATATATTACACTCCGAGAACTTAATTTTTGATATGTTTACGATTTTAAAATTCGCTCTGTTTTAATATGAAGCGTAATTGGTTAGAAATGCAAAATGGCCGATGAGTGGAAGCGTCCATGATTAATTGTTCAAATGGATGCGCAAGAACACACTTTATGTTTTTATATCATGATATGGTACATAGAATTGTAATTAACAATTCGTTTGCAGGGCGTAACGCAATTGCACGTCGATCCTGCTGGCCGTTTATTTTCATGCGGCGCGGACGGTTCGATGAAAGTGCGTCAGCTGCCGGAACGAGATTGCGTCGTGCACACTTTATACTAAACTAGTTGAAGAGCATCAAGATGTTCCGTTAGGTAAATAAAAATAAGTTCGTTCGCTTATAAAACGAATGCAAACTACCGCTAAAATCATAAACGCTGAGATATGAGAATCGCGTGCATACGTTCCTTATTAAACTCTTTCTTACGCAAGACCGCATAAGGAACTTATCGTAGATAAAAATTCGACGTTCAAGTTATCGAGCACGCCTGTTTTTGTTTTTGCCTTAAGAAACTGACCACACACGGCGATAATGAAAAATATACGAGAAAATAATTATAATCATCGATGTATTTAAAGTATTAAAAAAAAGAAGAGTCATTCAGCTGATAGTATGTTTAAAATTGAAACTTATTTTCTGTTTTTCTTCTGTTTAGAAACGCAGGCTTAAATTGCAGATTGTTGAAAGTTTCCTTGATTTACCGCGGCGATTGTTGTTCCTTTGTAGAGAATTAAAGTTAGACAAACGAGCCAAAACTACAATCGAGCTGTTAATTATATATGAGTATTAAACATACATGTATTATGTTGTTTTTGCATTTGCAAATCTAGTATTGTACAATTAACTTTTCGTCGTACGGAGAAGACGTAGCCCTATTTATTTACATCGTGGCGGAATATATATATATATTTTTAATAGTTTTCCTCATGTAAAAAGAAGAAAGAAACATTTAACACAGGAATATAACTGCGTAGCATTCGGTACTGTAAATTGACACGAGGAAAATTGCTGGATTGAATATATTTATTGATTCATTGCATAATTTGTACGATAGTAACGATTAAAACGCGATGAGATTAACCGTTCGAGACGGGAAAGGAGAATAATCATGTTATGAATGTATACTTGCAACTACTTTTCGTGTGTGTATATACATATACTACATGCATTATCGAAATTAAAGTTAAACAATCTTCGTTAAATATTCTAATTGCAATGAAAGGTACTTAGTGTTTACTGAATTTATTTCAAAGACAAACTAAGGTATGTTGTTCATGTACATATGTAATCAGTGGAAAGAATAAAGTAATATAAAGAATAAACTATTAAATATGGTCTTGAATGAATCATTCTTTAAATGCATTCATGTATTTCACGTAGCTTTACATTTTCCATCTTATATAAATTACATTTTCAGAGTAGTTAATAACATTAATATACCTCGACATGTAAGTGCTAGAAGTGTACAGCCTAAGGCCGACAGCGTTCCAAAAATCGTGGATAAAGACACACTTCACGTATGTGGTATCTGTTCAACAGCCAACAGAGAAATCTTTCCAGGCCCAATCCGTATCCACCGTGTGGACAACTTCCGTACTTCCGCTGAAGAGATTATAAAATAAATTGTTACACGTACGGTGACTCCCAGAACGAAGAGGAGTTTGACCGTAGGAAGGAAGAAGAAACAAGTTCAGAAACATTAATCGAGGATTTAACGAAGAAGAGTAATGTGGAAAACCACTGTACGATCAAAGTGAATGTTAGACAACAAGAGAATGCAAAAAACGTTTACCTGATCCGTGTACCAGTAGTACGGCTTCGGATCAATGTTCGCATTTGCGTAACCCTGTAATAGTTCGTCGTGATCCCAAATACGCATAGAACCGCCAACAATTTCGCCTACGTTCGGTAAAAGTACATCTACCGACTCCGTAAGACGTCTGTCTTCAGGGCAACGTTGCATATAAAACGATTTAATTTCCGCAGGGAACCTGCATAGCATTATCGGCTCGTTTATCGCGTCAGTCATTTTCCTTTCGGGCATCTCTGGAATGTCCTACGATCAAAAGTTGATATTAAATCGTCTTATCAAATTGCTCATTCGAACAAGTTTGTTGAACGTACTTCTCCGAATTCATAAAATGTTCCATCCTCTTTAGTGATGTTGTTGGCCCGAAGATATTCGATAGCTTCGCTGTAATCCATCCTCTTAAATGGCCTCTTGGGTACTTGGAAGTTGGGATTCAATTCGTAGACGAGGTGACCGAGCGGCGACTTGAGAACACGATCGACGACGTCGCATATCAAGTCTTCTAACCGATCCAGCAACTCGTCGAACGTAATAAACGGACATTCCCCTTCTATGTGCATGTATCTAAAAATTATACATCAGTTTCATAGACGCAAAGTTCATTATCATTCGATATAACGAAAGCAGAGGTATTTTTATAATTACTCTGCAAGATGCCTTCTGGTCCTTGATTGTTCTGCCCTATAGGACTGTACAATACAATATACATCGCCCATTGCTGGAATGCAAGTCTCCAGATACAGTTGCGAGCTCTGTGTCAAGTACGCTTCTTCTCTAAAATCGGTTTCTCGGATTTTAATTAAATAAAATTAAGAACGAGAAGAGACGTTATGATTCACTTACCCAAAATAATCTAACTTAAATAATGTTGATCCACCTTCTACTTGTGTTTGTACTAACGTTGGTGGTGTTACTTCGTAGTACCCTCTATCCTTGTAATGGCTTCTGAATGCCTCCGTTAATACAGATCTCATCATTAATATGCGAGACGTCTGCAAGTATTAAATACAGCTCTCAGTTATTCTTAATTAAAGAAAATTCGTGTTTTCTTATATATAATATAGTTATTATCGTACATTTTCACCACGAATCATTATGTGCCTGTTATCCAGCTGCACATCGGGAAGGGCTTCCTCGTTTAAAATGGAATCTGCACCTCCGGGAGGTGCAGCTCCTATCAGTTTCCAATAATCAACATTCAATTCATGTCCACCTGGAGCCTAAACAAAAGTAACAACTAAAATTCGAAATTTTGTTTAAAAAATTCAGTGAGTAGAAATTATATGAAAAAAAAATGGAACATTTATTATATCTTACAGTTTTTCCTTCTGGTACGATCTTGAGAGTTCCAATAATTTCTATAGAAGCTTCTGTGGACAAAGTAAGTGCATCGTACGTCTGGCATAAAGTGTCAGTAAGCACACATTGGACAAAGCCTTCACCTTCTCTCCCGTGTACCCTTTGTCTCGCTCGTCTTTATCCTTCTTCATCCGACAATTATATCCTTTGTCAAATCGATAAACGATATGCTAGAAAACTCTTAATACAAACAGGAATTGTTTGATCTTTCGGTCTCTTCAAACATCCTTTATATAGGAGTACGTTTTATGTACAATACTATTACTTTGATACTTAAGATCTATTGGGAATCTGATACTGATAGAAACATTTTTTGTTTGTTTGTTTGTTAAAGATCACAAAATGGGTTGCTTCGGCAGTAAAGATAAGCTCAGCAAAGAGGACATGGATTTCCTCAAGTCGCACACGAGGTACGACGAGGCCACCATAAAGGACTGGTACAAGGGATTTAAAGTAAGTTCAGCTCCGTTCTGTGGAAGCGTTATCTTCTTGATAGCGAGATGGAAGAGATTTACGAATGGTTTCTCTTTGCTTTTGGTTGCAGCAAGATTGCCCTAACGGTAGACTAACGCCAGCAAAATTTGTTGATATGTATAAAACATTCTTCCCATCCGGAAATGCAGAGGAATTCTGCGACCACGTGTTCCGGACATTTGACATGGACAAAAACGGGTACATCGATTTTAAGGTAATTCGTTCTTATTTGCATTTTCATTTAAAATGAGTCAATGTCAACATGGATATTCTGGTCACTTTCGTTTCTGCAATTATTTGTACATAAGTGTTTATCGTTAAATAAGCTCAGCGGTAAATTGATAAGACTTTATTAAAAGTATGGTGGCAGCTGTGGCATACGTTTTAAACGAGCGTGGCGAGAAATTGTATTCATAGCTGACTGTGTGTGTGTATGTTAGAATATAAAGGATGACGTGAGGCTGTCCAAGCATTGTTACAAATACAATACGCTTCGCTAACGCGATATATTCTATGGATCGTTCCATATTCGCTGCGAATAATAAACTCGATAAACTTGATTTTATGAAAGACCAGGCCTTTGTGAACGATGTGTATACATATGTATGTATATATATATATAGCTATCCAAGATAATTGTACAAATATAGAAGCCGATTAATTTATACTTAATTTTCTATTTATCTAAAGAATTCATTAGTGCATTTCGTTTTGTTAGATTAACTTGTTTGCACATATAAGACGTACATACGTACCTCGTTATAACTGTTAACCTAAGAATTATAGTGAATATATTGAATAGCATAACGAGGATTTAACGTAAGTAAATATGCAGCTCTAATAATCCCGAGAAGCCTAATTTCAATCTATGCTGAAATTAATTATCGCGAATATATTTTTTATTCTCGAGGAAGAACTGTTTTTATCAATCCTGTTTTATTAATAAGAATTACTAATTAGAATGCGATGCGATTTATGTAGAATTACTCTCTGATCTTAATTCTGATTTAAGAATTATTCTTGATTTTTCAGACTGCAATCATGCTACGGTTCACGAGTAGAAGATTATGTTCCGCACAATTGTTAAACAAAACAGCAACAAAAGTAGATAACAAACATGCAAGGAGCCTGAATCTATTGGAATATCAGAGCAAGGAATTGTTGAGAGATTGTGGGGTGTCCGTGCAGAATTTCGCAATCGTCGACGATTTAAGTAAAGCTAATTCTGCTCTGGAACAACTGCGTTAGTATTTACATTCATAATTAATTCATGTTACATTAAATGTCCCAATTTCTGTTCCATTCTGCCCTTTTCTTCTGTAATTAAATTAAGCCAGTGAGTAGAAATTTGAATATTTACCTCACTACATTTTACAATTTTTGTGTTCTTTATTTATCCACCCTTTATTTCTTGTAGAATACATGAATAACGTGTTTCATTAAATTCTTATAGATGCATCTGAGTACGTAATAAAAGCACAAGTATTAGCAGGAGGTCGTGGTAAAGGATGGTTCGATAATGGATTTAAGGGAGGGGTACATCTTACAAAGGAGTAAGTATGAGAATAAATTGAACTGCAGATACATTTAAGCACAAAATTAATGTACAATGAAGTTGTTAGATCCAATATTAAAAAAGTTATTCTATTTTGAAGCATGCCTAAATATTAATGGGAGTCAGTAAACTGCATAAACCTAACAGAAATCTGAACCTCATCTGAGTTAATTCTCTCCAGCTTCATGTTTATTTCTTATTTCTCACGAACAACGTAAAAGATTCTGTGGGTTGACGGGAGTCAATACCGTAGATTCATAGACTGAAGTCTCATTTCTTATATTGTTCTGAAGAAACAGGAATAGAATAGAATGATTACAATCACGGTGGAGTACAAGCTAACATTCCCGTTGTTTCGCAGTAGAAAAGCTGTATTAGACGTCGTGAAAAATATGCTAGGCCATCGGTTAATAACGAAACAAACGTCCAAAGACGGGATTTTAGTACAGAAAATAATGATCGCCGAATCGGTTTCCATAGCTCGGGAAACGTACGTCTGTATTTTGATGGACCGGACCCATAACGGGCCAGTGTTAATCGCCTCGCCGTCGGGAGGCATGGACATTGAAAGTGTTGCTGAAAACAGTCCGAGTTTGATTAAGACCGTGCCTTTGGATATTTATTTCGGGATTGACGATGACATAGCGAGGGACGTTAGCGACTTTCTTGGATTCAAGGACCCAGACTTGCAACAAAAGGCAATCTGCGAGCTGAAGAACCTTTGGAAATTGTTCGTGGACATCGACGCGTTGCAAGTTGAGATTAACCCGTTGGTAGAGACCACCGATAAGAGAGTGATTGCCGTCGACGCGAAAATATCTTTCGACGATAATGCACAGTTCCGGCAACAAGATTTGTTTAAATTGGAGGACGGCGAGGAGAAGGATCCGAGAGAAGCGGAAGCGGCTAGGTTTAATTTAAATTACATTGGAATGGACGGAGATATAGGATGCTTAGGTAAACCGGAAGTCTCGTTTGAAGAGATAGAAAAGTGGAATAATTATTATATATTTATATATTTAATTAGTTAACGGCGCTGGTTTAGCCATGGCTACTATGGACATAATTAAATTGAACGGTGGAGCACCAGCAAATTTTTTGGACGTGGGTGGAAACGTTAAGGAAGATCAAGTTTATCAAGCATTCAGAATCCTTAGTGAAGGTATATAATGACTTCGTCTAATGAATGTATTCAATGGAAGATTGAAGAAATTACTGTCGTCTAAATACTTCAACGTTTCTAGATCCAAAAGTAAAAGTAATTCTCGTAAACGTGTTCGGAGGCATAGTGAACTGTACTACAATAGCAAAAGGAATAATATCAGCCTCGAAAAATTTGAAACTAAAAATTCCATTGGTCGTCAGACTGGAAGGTAGGTAAACTACTTAAGGATGTATTGGCTATACAGTCAATCCCAAAAGTTTATGCACTTTAGAAAAGCATTTTTTAAAAAGAAATCATACGTCGGAAGAACATTGCTAATAATAAACAACAAAAAAAATTTTTCGATTTTTCCGAGATTTTTCCCAGGGGTACCCCTTCAAATTTGGCAAAATTTTCGTTTTTTGTGAATAACTTCGAAACCGTTGGAGATACGGGAAAATTGCATGAAACCTTTCCTGTAGAGGACGACGAGATCTACAATTTCCATGTAAAAAGTTTTCGCTAGCATCAATAGTTACAGAGTTATTTGCAAAAAACTGTTTTTTCGTTTTTCGTCAATAACTCGTAAACTATTAATGGTAGCGAAAACTTTTTACATGGAAATTGTAGATCTCGTCGTCCTCTACAGGAAAGGTTTCATGCAATTTTCCCGTATCTCCAACGGTTTCGAAGTTATTCACAAAAAACGAAAATTTTGCCAAATTTGAAGGGGTACCCCTGGGAAAAATCTCGGAAAAATCGAAAAATTTTTTTTGTTGTTTATTATTAGCAATGTTCTTCCGACGTATGATTTCTTTTTAAAAAATGCTTTTCTAAAGTGCATAAACTTTTGGGATTGACTGTATAGCCAATACATCCTTAAAAGGAATTATAGGTACGATAATTATATTGAGAACTTAAATTATGTTGTTAATTAGGCACGAACGTGGAGGAAGCGAAGCAGCTTGTCAAAGATAGTAACTTGCAAATTGTTACTGCGACCGATTTGGACGAGGCTGCGAAGAAGGCGGTTCATTCTGTGAGCATGTAAATTAAACATATATTTACGATTTTTATCAACGGTTGAAAGTCTGCAGAATTCTTATCCTCAAGTAAAAGAAGAAATATAGGTGAAAGGGTTTGTGTGTGACTGTGAGAAATGAAAGATACGAAAGACTAATCTGTTTTACGTCCTAAATAAATAAACGAGAAACTAGGGGAACTGATTAGTTATATTGTTGTACAATTTTGTAATTTTGTAAAAGATTCGAGAATCTATTAAATCATTTTTCATAGAAAAATATAATGTGTAAGTTTATTTCTCGTCCTGTATTATATTACATTATATTACATGCTAATATATTTATACAACTATATAAATATATTAATTATTATAATTACAAAAACGACGTGTTATTTAATAATGGATACAATTATTTTTCACGTAAACAACAATAAATATTTGAAATATATACACAAGTGTTTGGAATGTTAACTACAAAGATTCATCCATAAATGGAAACAGCAAGCATTAACAAAACCTTCGATTAAGTTGTATGTGTCTTCCACGCAATATGGGGTGTTAATCAATTCTTCTGACTTCCGATAGACCGCATAGAGATCCTGAAAATAAAAATCAATATCAATTAACAATTAGCTTCCAAATAAAACGAAATTCTCTGATTAAATTTTAATGAAGCATGCAAAGAAGCTTGCGAAGCTTCTGAAACGTACCCCTCTTGTGGCATGAAGATCTATCGTTAACATCATAAAAACTTGATAGTAGCTGGGATGCAATACAAGCAAATGGGTGACATTTCCATCCGGTGTATTAAAAATCTTATGATTCTCCTGATATTTATTCTGGAGAACCTTCATCAGAGCCTGGTACCACGCGATAGGTTGATTCAGGAACGTTTTTAATCTCGCATCTATATTGGACAGTGGCTCGACCTTCGCCAATTCGCATAACTCCATAAATTCACCGTAATTCATGGTAGACTTGCTGTCTAATAATTTATTCCAGAGCAAATGCGTTCTACACTGCAACGCACCTTTATTAATCATTTGAATTATACTGGAACGAGCCTCGTTCGCTTTCAATGCAATCGTCCTTTGCATCGATTGCTCGTGCGAGGAATAGTAACCCAAATAATTGATTGATTCCTGTCGGATTTGTATCGAACTCGTTTCCGAACTCTTCGACACGTTTAAATTCCGAGAGAAGAGAGAATTGGGAACCGGCGGTGGCACCGGCGCGGTACTATTCCCGCAATTAACGGTTTGAGATTTATTATCGTTTAAATTCGGTTTCGGTTCTTGGCAACTAGGATTTTCGGCAGTAATTTCTTTGCTAGAACTCTTCGATTTCTCAACGTTATGCACGGTTTGGAATTTACCCAAAGTGCTGTAGTTCTCCATGTCCCTCTTCGGGTATACCTCACGTTTACTGGTCAGTATTAAATAATACTTTAAACCAATTTCCATCTTCTCAATTTGAGACAGTAAGGAGACGATGAGTACTACTTCGAAATCGTTCGATTCTGGTCTTGATTCTTGTGAATCGAGGGAATCTATTAGGGGTAATCGATTTAGATTTACCAATACGTGCTCGGTGGCTTCGGGATCGTGGCTAGGCTGTCTCATTTCTAAAGCCACCATGTTGTACAGATTGTAATGGGTAAGTAAATACGAATAAAGAGTGCGGCCAGAGATCGGTAGATTTGGAATGGTTATTGTATCTGAAACGATAAACCATCAGCTTGATTAAGACCGTGCCTTTGGATATAATGGACATAATTAAATTGAACGGTGGAGCACCAGCAAATTTTTTGGACGTGGGTGGAAACGTTAAGGAAGATCAAGTTTATCATACATTCAGAATCCTTACTGAAGGTATATAATGACTTCGTCTAATGAATGCATTCAACGAAGATTGAAGAAATTACTATCACCTAAATACTTCAACGTTTCTAGATCCAAAAGTAAAAATAATTCTCGTAAACGTGTTCGGAGGCATAGTGAACTGTACTATAATAGCAAAAGGAATAATATCGGCTTCGAAATATTTGAAACTAAAAATTCCATTGGTCGTCAGACTGGAAGGTAGGTAAACTACTTAAGGATGTATTGGCTATAC